CACTCACTCACTCACTCACTCACTCACTCACTCACTCACTCACTCACTCACTCACCACCCGCCCACCCACCCACCACTGCCACCACCACCACCATCAGCACATCTCCACCTTCATCACCACCATCACCTCTCTCGACCCCAATGTCTAGATCTCTAGACTCTTTGCTGCTACACACACACACACTGTTTGGGGTCTCTTGCCCGTATAATTTTAGGGGGTGTAGCTATGCATGGTTAATGTACAAGGGGGCTCATGTGGTACCTGCAACAACATTTGAACCTTCGAGAACCCAGCTATTCATGAAAGCATGGAGTTTCAATTGTTTTGGCATGAATGTCTTCGGACCGGAATTTCCCACACCGCCCTTCAGCTCCACCCTCATTCGGTGTCAGGGTGTCAGTGTCCTGTCACCCCTGGAAGAGAACAAAAAGATTTGCACTTTCTAGCAACTCGGAGCAGTGAGACTGTTCAAGTCCAGCGCTTCAACTCAGCAGGGTTAAGATGAATTCAGATGGATTCTTTTGAGAATCAAGGCATGCACAAAAGCGGAAATTGTATCGAATCAGCTTGTCCATTCATTGCCAGGCGAGATTCGGAATGACATCATTTCAGTCTCCTCCACCCAGGACGAAGAACGGATGAACCAAGTGCAGATAGCCTTAACAGTGAGCCAAGCGCGGCTTTTTGGGGCGCAGGGATCTCAAAGGAAGACGGTGAATGGATGTCCTGCAACTGTTGACCAGCTGTGAATGGTTTTTGTTTCTATCCGTTTCTTGGTTTGAAAGTCATGAAATACATGAGAACAGTTTCCTGTGTGGTTTCCCACCTCGCAGGGTGAGTCCTACCTTGTGTGGAAGATTATGACAGTGCTGACTGTTTGAGAACCCTTCCACGACAATGCAAGTGGGATCAAATGGGTGTTTTCAAAACGGATCACAATGGTTCTTTCTGTGTGGGAGTGGGATCGTTGTGTTTTCCCATGGCAGTTTCCAAAATGACGTGGTAGTTTGTTGGCCTTGTATTTTCAAGACTATCCACGACCCAGCTTCCTAGGCTTCCTTTGATGTGTTTTTTTTCTCTGGTGGCTTTGAAGCCAGGGGTTGGGCTGTCAACGTTGGACATGTTCCTACCATGGGAATGGCCTGGAAATCGGCCGATCCTGTGTTTTAGACAGCTTTGCGAGAGAGGCCAATGTTTCATCGATTCATCCGTAGGCTTCATGATGCTTTCGCCAGAGTCCTCTTTCCGACGCATGTGGGACGAACTGCAGTACAACACCATGGATAACCAGTCTGAGAGACCCGCAAATCTGGCGCAATCGAAGCAAACTTAGTTGATTTATGTCTCAAAACATCTTCCCGTCATTTCCCGTCGTGGAAGTTTGGCGGGTCCGTTTAGTAGCGTCAGCCATGCAACACCTATGCATCACCATTTTCGAACTGTCCTCAACGAGATCCATCCGGGTCTCTATCCCGGAAGCCTCAGATCAGAAAAAAACCATGGAAGGGCGATGCCCGGAGAGACGCAAGACTTGTTTTGATAAGCCAATGTTCGGGCTTGGTAGAATGCTAGAAAAACCATCCCCAAGTGTTCAGGTGAACCTCCGAACTCCGAACCCAATTCAGGAAAAGGCGCAGGGACTCGAAAGTAGTGGACTCAAACATTGTGCCAGTACCTCTGCAGAGCTGCAGGTCTCACCAATCCTCAAGGGAGCCGCAGAAAGATCCTGCGGAGTTGTAGTCGTCGCCTCCGCGGCAGTCGCCACAGCAGGCGTTGCCCTGCCAAAGTCGGCGAGGAAATAGAAAAATGGACCGTTGGAACAGGGAGGAAGCCGAGGAAGAAAAATATGGGAAGGAAGAAGGGAAAGGAACCATGAAAGGAATAAAGGATTCTAAAGGTCTATAGAAGGTTTTTGAATAAGGGCGGGCTTGTCAGCGCACGATGGGATGGGCACCCCCTCACATCTGCAAGGGTCATGCGAATCCAACTCTACTTTTTACTGGACTGTTTTTCTTTGGTGCAGAATTGAGGAAATTTGAAGCTCCCAAACATTCCGTGGGCTTGTGGCTCTAGACCTAGACGGCTCAAAAAGCAAGCCAGTGTACTGTTCGGTTGAGGTGCTGTACAACGGGATATTCTATTTTGGAATTAATAAAAGGATAATACTATGTAGTTTTTATTTATCGTTTCTTTGGTATATGTGTTAACAGCATTAGACCTACAGGTTCCATCATAATCATCAAAAGCAATAGATAATATGAATCACCGATTATATAAATTACAATAAGAGGTTTCATGAGAGCAATCCGTTTGAACTCTGCCAGGCCTGTTCTGGTTCTTCGTTTGATGACGCCAACAGCGGGGAAGCCAATCAACCCAGTCAAGTTGAGTTTGTGAATTATCAGACTCAGATGAGAAGCCCGACATCTCAAACAAACAGACTTGTGCACCTTCCCATGAGAAAAGTCCGAAAAGCAGAATCCAAAACGCCAAAGTTGGAACCCCCAGGGACCAAAACCGGCGCCGTTGGGTGCGACATCAGTGCCGATTCGACCTCGTCGGTCTAGAGTCTACTGCGCCGGTTTCAACCGAGGCCTTAGACCGAGGTTTGCTGGAGCGCAATGGTCGAAAGCTGGACCTGGAGCGTAAGGCTGAAGAGCCTGAAAACCGCGGCGCCCGGCGGTTTCGTGCTGATGATTTGGGGTGTGTCCGGTGAAAGCAGCGGATGTTCTGTGTAATTAAGACTCCCCAACACAAAGATCAACCACAAGTGATCAGCGGAATGGTGTGCACTGTGATGAACTGTGTATTTTTGCCTTTGGGAAGTTATAAGCTGCGAAAAATGGCTTTCCACTTTACGAAAAGCAATCCAACCGCAGCCACGCGCTCGTCACACACGCTCGTCGCCGGTACTGTGCCAGGTGATCAAAGCTGGGAACTTCACGCAGGTACCGAGACGGCCGAAGGGATCTCTTGTTGGACGACATCGGATGCTCTACGAGAGTGTCAATTTAGGAAATTAACATTAGGATAAGAATCAACTATAGATTGATTTCACAATTCCCACATGTGGCTGAACGAAATCTTGCGAATTGATATGAATTGATCAAAATAGTATGTCCCCTCTTAAAAGCCAAGTCTCAATCAATACATTAGGGCCGGGTGATGAATGTGGCAAGTTCTCGGAAGTAAAGCAGAGGATTTGACCAAATTCGGCCAGAGGTGTTAGCTCTTCTCACATTTCGAGAATTCAACAAAAAGCAACGGTGCCTTAATCCTAGGCTTGATGCTTGTCATTCTTTGGAGTGGGAGCAGATTACCTTTGCAAGGGGGAATGCTGAAACAATGTATAGGTGGCTGTGCTTGATGGGTAGCTTGCGAATGTTCGACAGGCAAAAACAGTCTGCCGGAATCCCACGAGCGCTTCAAATTTGTCAAGTCAATGACATTTTAATCTAGCAACACTGGTGTTCCAATGAGCAAAGGTCACAGTCTTCACTACTCCTAGGTGAAGGGTTTGATGCTTTTACTGAACCTGCCAGACCAAGAGAAGACGGTGTTTCTCTCACCATCAAATCCTCAGGGTGATCTAGGTGCACTACACGACATGCTTTTAATTGGACATGTTTGGTCATCAAGGTGCCTTTAAAGAAAGGAAAGGACGTGTTGGGATGCGAGGCTTGGACCACGTGGGGTGCTTCGTAGTGAAAACCGATGTGTCCTCTCGTCCGACGAGTGAGACCAAGTGTTTTTTTGACGGACATTTTCTCGTCTCGCTGGCTCCTTTTCGCCAGGATTCAGGGCCTCAAAACTTGCTTCAGGACTTGGTTCGAGAGGTGTGGCATCTCTTTCGGTGCGTCTTTCTGGGAGTTGGTTGCATGTGTTTTTTCTGCTTGCGGAAAGGTCTGATGTTTGAAGCTGAAGGATGGACCAATATAGACTCGAATTTTAGATGTTTCTTTGTCCTTTGAGATGTTCAACTTCGGTTCACGGAATGTCGTGTCGAGAAAGGGAAAGGGCATGAAGACGGGCACATTTGTTTCACGTGTGTGCGGTTGGACCGCGTGGCCATGTGAAAGCGACTAAGGCGTTCACACAAGAGCAGAATTTCTTCAAAATTGACGCTGGAGTTCTGGAAGATACGCAGGGCTTGGCTGTTGTTTGTAAACAAAACTTGCAAATACGTTGCATAGTTGATTGCATCAGGCCCGGATGTCCACCTCAGCGAGCGGCTTGCGTGCGACTCCTTTGTGCGAGGCGCAATCGACGGTGGGGAGTGCTTGGTCACATTAATACGTTGTTTCGTGGGGATAACTTCCGTCAAAGATCAAAGGCCCAATAAGAGACGACTATTATGTTCAACAAGAGTGAAGTGAAACGAAATGGATGCCTGTTAAGGATGCCCAAACTGTTGTTCTTACATTAAAGGCGGTCTCCTTTTGCCACCAGTTCAGGTCTCTTATGGTTTTTGACTTTCCCTCAACTGTCATGATCTGAGTATTTTTGATGTGAAGATGCGCTATCCTCTCACATGCTTCGAGTTTCCTATTGACTTGTCAAACAACATCTCAACCAGAAGGGTAATGCTGGACAGACCGTTTGTAGTTTGAAGTCTTTTAAGCAGCATAGCATCACCACACACTGTTTCTCACAAGTAGAATGCCAGGTAGTTACCGTACCAGTGCTTCAAAGCCCGAGTTCTGCTGAAAAGCAGAGCAGCAAAGTCTCGAAGCAACAGGGTGATGTGAAGCCTCCAGGGAGTCGGCGTGAAATCAAGGCCTCACCGATGCCGGCACATGAACACCTTCGTTGCGGAAGCATATTATACTATATATATTATATAGTAGAAGCGGATGATGAGATCAGTAGCTTTTGTGGAATTTTCATGGCTTGGTTCCGCTAAGAACGTTGATCCAAAGTTTCGAACCAATCCACACAGCAAACCTAATTCCACCCTAAACCAACGGGTGTTCTCTTCCATAAACCGGTTTTCTCTCGCAGGTGAACCGTCTCCTGGCCCGCAGTGAAGAGGAACGTGTGGAGTTCGATCGCTTGGATCGTGAGCCGGGAGACGCAGAGAGCGCGTTCGATCGATCGGGCAGAAGCAGCTGGCGCGGAAGGAAAAGGGTTCAAGGTGATTCAAGATGAAAAAAACACATAAAAACCTGCCACGTACTTAGTCTTTCACTTTGGTGTGGTGACATCCCAAGCATGGGTGGCAGCCGGTCCATGCCGGTCTCCGGGAGACCCTGCCACTTAGAGGCTGGGCTTGGATCCGAGCGCTGGACACGTGGAAGAACAACTGGAAAGGCCGAGTGGGTCGTAGCTGAAGGCGACGGGTCGTAGCAGATTCTTAGGACAAAGCCGGTCGAATTTGAGAATCCAAGGAATACCGTGTGAGAACCCGCTGATGCAAGAGTTGCGGTGGATCAAGATCCGCCAAAAGGAGACATGCATTCTGCACAGTATATAATGGCAGCATCAAAGAAAGACCATGTTTCAGGCATTGAAAGACCCGTTTTTGTTTAATTCCGCCAGCGGCCCGACTCGTCCCGCACGCCAGTTCTTGTCCGACTCGTCACCGACTAGTCCAGTCACTTCGTCAGTGGTCCTGCTTCGGTCTCAGTGGTTCCGACTGTGACTTTTCCGCGCAGGGCTGAGCGGCTGTCTTTGGGCGAAGGCTGTCTTTGGGCCAACGCTCAAAGGGATGTTTGCTTCAAAAAGAAACGTCGAAACGAGAGCC